GGGGCACAAGCAGGGCATCCTGCCATGTACCTCTTGCCCTCATTTTGTTTTTCTGCCATGCCAGCACTCTGGCACCTTCCGAGGTAGGCATTATGGTGTTTTTTGGCACTCCAGCCAAAAAACCTTGCCTACCCTGTTCTAAGAAATCTGTCTTTTCCATTCTCCCTCTTTCTGTTAAACAGCCCACCTGACCTGGAATATCTGTTATCTGGGATCTGCCCAGCCTATCTGTTAGTTTTCAAGTGGAATTAAGGTGTTGGGTTTCACCTGATAAGCCTCAGAATGGCTTCAGTCTGATCTGCTTATTACACTGTTTTTCTTTTTAGTAAATCCTACTGTAGACCAGCAGAGGTACAGGAGATGAAGTGTATCTTAAAAGAACAGCAGCTACCAATTAGGCATTGTGTCATTAATTGGATTATGCCATTCTGGTTTTATGGGTTTGACACAAATCCATGTTGCCAACTGATAGCTATTGCAAAACACTACCATGTACATGTGGATAAGTGGAAAAAGGTCATCTTTTTCCTGTTCTGGATCAGCTGTGGTCTTAATAAACAAACCTCCCTCAACATGAAAGAGAGGCTGCTATGGACAAAATACATTTCTTCCCTCTCTACTTCTTACTTTAGAAATCTCTAACTGGAGGAATCTCAAATTACTCTTGAAAGCCTAACTTTGCAAGACCCAAATACTTTTTGTTGAGAGAGTGGTTCATTAGTGACAGCAGTGTGTGTGTATGAAACGTAAGAAAGAAAGGAGTTTAGTTCATAGAATCATAGAAAATGAGGGTTGAAGGGACCTCAGGAGATCATGTAGTACAACCCCCTGCTCAAAGCAGGACCATCCCCAATTAGATTGTCCCAGCCAAAGCTTTGTCTAGCCGGGTTTTGAAAACCCCCAAGGATGGAGCTTCCACCACCTCTCTCGGTAACCTGTTTCAGTGTTTTACTACCCTCCTAGTGAGAAAATTATTCTGAATATCTAAATTAAAATTCCTTTGCTGCAACTTGAGACCATTGCTCCCTTTTCTGTCAGCTATCACCACTGATAATAAACTAGCTCCATCTTTTTTTCAAACCCGCCTTCAGATAGCTGAAGACTACTATTAAGTCTCTTCTCAGTCTCTTCTCTAGACTAAATAAACCCAGTTCCCTCAGTGTTTCCTCAGAAGTCCTGTGCTCCAGCCCCCTCACCATTTTTGTCACCCTCCACTGGACTGTCTCCAATTTGTCTACCTCCTTTCTGCAGTGGTGGGCCGAAAACTGGGCACAGTACTCCAGATGTGGCCTTGCCAGTGCAGAATAGAGGGGTCTAATCACTTCCCTTGACCTGCTGGCAACACTCCTACCAGTGCAGCCCAGTATGCTGTTAGCTTTTTTGGCAACTAGGGCACACTACTGACTCGTATTCAGCTTTTCAACCATTCTAACGCCCAGGTGTATTATGTGATGGAGATATCTATTATGTTTGCAGTATTTATTGTATTGTTTATCATTTACTGTGCACTGTACGTTCATCCCAGACCTCTTTAATTGTAACTACACCATGGAGGAATTCTGTAATGCAACTGATTGAAGAACAGAGCAATGATTCTCAGACAAAGGTGCCATGACGTGCTGAGGTGCCACAAGCTCCCTTTTAGGGTGTCCTGGGGTGCTGTGCAGTATTAGCACTAGTAGATATGTGAAAACCTACACATGATTCACAAGATAAACCCACATGGGAATCCATAGTGTCAAAAACATTCTGACCCATTGTGGTCTCCCTGAGTGCTTTGCAACAGAAGAATTACTGTATTATTTGTCTATAATGAGTCAAAAAAAAATTAGGGAAAGCTGTGAGGTGGCATTTTCTGAGGGGGGTGCCCTTTGCATCTCACAAAGGGTGTTTGAATTTTAAAAGGTTGAGAAGAACTGAGTTTTTTCCGTTTGTTTGTTTTTTGCAGCTTCCTCTTTCTGAAATTTTAAAATGAATTTTAAAGTAATTGATACAGTACAGAAATTTAATTTTTGCATTTTAAGAGTAAACAGTGTTTCATAGGTTGTAAAGGTACATTTTCTGGGTTTTTTTGAGGGGCTTTTGGGTTTTTTGGTCAGGAAATGATAGTTGATCAAGCTTTGAATAAGTCGAACTTCTCAATTTAAGATTGCATTGCCTAATATGCACTTTGTTGTCTATTACAGTTTATTGAGAGAACATTCAATTGATGGCACGGGCTGGGCTCCAACTAGAACATTAAAGGTACTATTTTATTTTGTATATACCTTTTTCTAGTTTGATATAGCTATATTTTATACAGTGCTGTGCGTATATAAAGCAAATTGGTGTATAGATATGAGGTCATTACAAAAAATGTAGAGCCATGTACTATAATATTCTCATACTGCCCACTAGTCTCTCTCTCTCTTTCCAGTCTCATGCAAGTGTTCCAACTAGCTGCTGTTTTGTAAAAATGTAATCTGTTATGTAGTCTCTTTTTATCTGCCTCGTAACCCTTGCTTTAAAAAGCTCTTCTTGTTTCTCCTCTTTCCAAATGTGGAATCGTCTTCCCAAATTGTCATAGATTTGTTGAGCAAGATGGATGATACTCGATCCTTTACTAATGGTATATTTAGAGTCCAATATATCATGCTTCAGTTGGTAAAACTGTTTGCAGAAAGGCAGCCCATTGCTGGGGGGAATGAACACACCAATCTACCTAGTGCAGTGTTTTAGTACGTTCTGAAATGGTTTTAAAATATTTCTTTAAAAATGTATGGCATTATCAAATAAGATGTATGCATATCAATTTTATTGACTTCTGCTGGTAATGCACGTATCTTGAACTCAAGCTATAAATCTTCAAAAATAGACCATACTAATGTGTAATTTTGTTTACAAACATCTGAAAATAACTTTGTTTACATGAACACCTAAATGATAGCCTCTGTAGATGGGGGAGAGCAGTAGATATGATTATACTTTCGTCTTTCCTAGGCTTTTGATGTCATCTCCCATAACGTTCTTATTAGTGAGCTAAGCAAATAAGTCTAAACGAAAATACTCCTGAGATGCATACTTAACTGGTTGCATCATTGTACACAGAGTAGTTACCTGTGACTTGTCTAATTGGGGGAGGTATCAAGTGGGTTTCTTGGTTCAGTTCTGGTCTAGTATTTAATTTCTTAATGTTTTGGAGGGTAAGATGAAGTGCATACTTAAATTTACAGATGACACTAAGATAAGTGGAGTTGCAGATATTGGAGGGTAGGATTAGGTTGGAGAATGGCCTGGATAAACTGGAGAAATGGTCTGAAATTAATTGGATGAAGTTCAGTAAGGATAAGTATGAAGTCCTGAACTTAGGATGGAACAATTGCATACACCAGTACAGACTGGGGAATGTCTGGCTAGGCTGCAGTACTGCCAAAAAGGACCCCAGTGGGTTAAAGTGGACCATAAACTGAACGTGAGCCAATATGAATATCAAGAGAAGCATCCCTTTCAAGTCAAGGGAGGTGATTCTTCCTGTCTGTTCACCACAGATGAGTACTTGAGAACACCTTGAGTACTGTGTCCTGTTTTGGCTGCCACACTTCAAAGAAGACATGGGCCAATTTGAAAGAACCCGTTGAAGAGCAGCAAAAATTATTAGAGGTCTAGGTAACATGATTTATACAGAAAGACCAAAAGAACCAGAATTATGTAGTTTGGATAAGAGAGGGTGATGGGGGTATTTGATAACCAGGGATCCGGGCTTTCAGTTTCCCATGGGAAAACAGAGAAAACCACAGATTCCCTGTTCTTATTGGAGAAAACATGGATTTCCCTTTTTAGCAGAGAAATACTTGGATTCTCTGCTTATGCAAAGAGCTCTTGTAGGCTGGCACAGCTCCAGCCTGCAAGAGATGATTGCAGAAAGGGTGGGAAACCCCCAGCCGTACCTGGAGGTGGAGAGAGGGGGAGAAGGGGAAGGGTAGGGCTTGAGTCTTGAGTCAGCCATGGCTGGGCTCTGGCTCAGACTCGCCCTTCGTTGCTTGGGCCTAGAGATAGGTGGGGCTTGGGGGCTGTGGGGCAGGGCTGGGGAAGATGGTTGGGGGCTGAGGGAGTGGGGGGTCCTGGCAGTGCCAGGCAGCACACTGCAGCCAGAAGCAGGGCCAGGGTGTGTGAGGGCAGGGGTGCCCTTCTGTGGGGGGCTTTGCAGGCAAGCGATGCGGGGTGCAGTGTGGTGGTGCCCGCCATGTGCGGGCCGCACACATGCTGCCCGGCTGGCTTCCCAGGGGATGGGGAGGCTGGCATGTGGCCGGCTGGCATGCGGCTGGCTGCATAGCTCCATGTCCAGCTCTGCAGCAGTGGTGAGGGGCGGTGGCTGGGGGAG